GGTTGGTTGGTGGGTGGGGGGGGGGGAGTGAGGGACCTTGTGGGTGAGGCAGAGGCACGACCAGGGCGAGTCCCTGGCATGCATGGGGCAACGTGCGGTCCGGGAAGGGGAAGGCGGCGATCGTGCAGGGTCCCTCGCACAGGCGGCTGGGACGGGGCCCGCAGACCGCCGAAACGGTGCGACGGCCAAACCACGCGACCTGTCACGCTGTGCGGTGACTGTCCACAGCCGTGCACAGCCCTCATCTGTCGCCTTGGCCCGGGCCGCGAGGTTCGCAGTTCCCCAGTGTGCTCTCCCTGGCCACGACAGCAAACCCCTGCACGCACCTTGATGACGCACTCCAGCGTGCCGGAGGCTGCAAACGCCGCGAAGAGGGCGCTCAACCCAGCGGGCCCCGGGGTCTGCAGCGATCCCTGGACGCTGAGCCCATACGGCAGAGCCTGCGAGGGGGTGCGTCGGGCCGGTGGGGGCTGGTCGGAGCGCCTATGCCCTTGTGGCGCCGTGTCCGAGCCGGATGCAGGGTCTGGAATTCAGGCCCCCCCCTGCACACTCAGGGAAGCCCTCCTCACCTGCCAGCGCTGGTAGAACTGGACGGGGGACACCGCGTGGGTGGGCGGGTTCAGGAGGACCAGCGGGGAGATGGACAGCGGGCAGCACCTGATGACGGGCGACCCCAGGCTCACCTGTGGGAGATTAATTTGAGGGGTTGGTTGGGGGAAGGTGTGGTGCAAGCTCACAAATCGGGATGCCAATGTGACATATGCTTTGGCTAATGTTTCATAGCGTCAGTGCTTTGGTTGATGTTACATAACGTCTGTGCTTGGGCTGATGTTTCGTAACGTCAGGAACCCTCCCACCCCCCCCGCTCACCAGCCCCAATCAAACATAGCTTGCAGGCAAACAAATGCCTCACCTTGAGGGGCAGCTTGATGGAGGCGGCGACCACCGGCCAGCCGAACCCAGACACGGTGCGCGTGGCAGACCAGGCGGTCTCCCCCCCCGGCGCCAGCGGCTTGAGGGGGAAGGCCAGTAGCGCCCCTCCCCCCAGGGGACCGCCCAGCGCCAGCTCTACCTCCACCCCACGCAGCTCGTCCAACGTGCGGTTCTGCGCGCGCACGTGCACGGTCAGGCTGCGCGCGGCGGGGCTGGGCTCCACGCGCACGAACAGGCCCAGCGGCGAGTGCCCTCCCGTCACCTCCCGCTCGCGGCAGGAGGGGCGCAGGGCGGAGGGCGCGCCGCCCCTGGTGCTGCTGTCCACGTCGCCGCCGCCCAGCACATCCAGCAGATCGGCCAGCGCCGGGAGGGAGGGTGGGCCCGCGCCGTTGCTGGCCGCGTCGTCGCCGCCGGCGCTCGGGGCGTCGCCGCGCCACACCGCGGCCTGAAGCGCCTGGAGGAGCCCGCGCGCGCGGCGCGCGGGCGCGGTGTGGAACAGTGCGCCGTTGGCGGGCAGGGACACAGGGTACGCCGCGCTTTCCACTTGACCCGGGGCGGGGCGCAGCGCCACGACCGAGGGCTGCGCGGGGGCCGCCGCGGGCGCGCCGTCCGGCCCCGCGCTCGTCTCCACGGGCGCCCCCAGGCGGCCCAGGGCCCGCTCGCCGCCGCCGCCGGCCTCTGCGGCGGCCTTCTTCCTGCCGCTGGTGGCCACTGGGAGGAGGGCGGCGCGGACGCGACCCAGGCGGGCCCTCAGGCCCGGGATCCGCGAGCCGCAGGCCTCAAGCTCCAGGCCCACCAGCTTCTCCAGGAGCGAGGCCACGGGCGCCAGCTGGCCCACCAGCTCGTCCTTGTGATTGTCCACCACTGCTTGTTTTGGGGGTGGGTGGGGGAGAGAGACGTGACGGGGACAGGAGCGTCGGGTGGTAGCGAAACAGCAAACTTTGGGGCATGGCAGGAGCAGTCCAGATGGCAGCAAAAAATCGTCACTGGTCATCGGGGGCGCCAGCATGGTGCCTGGGCTCACTGCACGCCCGCGCCGGGCCAAGCAGCGTGAAGAAGATCGCCAGTAGCGCCCACAGATAGACGCTGGTACAACACCTCCAAGGTTCCCCTGGGTGATTGAGCACAGGCAAGACCATGGTTCCCCATGTCGCCAACCCCTTTGCCCCCTCCCCCATCTCCCCGGGGACCAAGGACGTACAGAGGGCTGCCAGGTGCTCCAGGCAGAGCAGGGCCACCTCCACGTTCTGCCCCGCCACCGAGACGTCACGCTGTGCGCCGACCTTCGCGCTCAGCGTGCCCTCCCGCACCGCGGCCAGGTCGCCCCGCCGAGTCCTGGCTGTGGGCGTCGCTGAGCAGGCCATGCACTGGAATTCAGATGGATGGAGCGCAAGGAGCTGGATGCACGGCACATCGCAAGTATGTTCGGTGGGAGGAGCGACATACAGAACCCTCACGCCTGTGCAAGACCATCGCCAGCCCGTCTGCTACATCCACTCCACCCGCCAGCATTCACTCCCATTCCACCCTCCGACCCACCAGCGTCCACCAGGCTCGTCCATGAGGCGTCCAGCGCAGATTGCAGCTGGGCAGGGGGGGAGGAGGGTTGCGAAGGGGGTGTTGAGAGGGTGCCTACAGTGATTGCCAGCCCCAGTCAAGGTCCCACATGCTGCAAGCCTCGACCCACTTCCTGACCAACAGGCTCCTCGACGCCGACCCACCCCCTCTCACCCCGCCACAACCCAATCACACACCTGGAGGTGGAAGGCGCAGATCCAGACCGCGCGCGCCTGCACCGGCGCATTCAGCGCCCTCCAGTTGGACGCGATCTGGAGGAGCAGGCCCTGCACGTCCTGCGCCAGCGCGGCGGTGCGGCGGTGCAGCCCGACCAGGGCCTGCGGGCCCGTTTGGACGGCGCCTGCGGCGTCGCCGCCGGGCTGGCCGGCGGCCGTCTGGCCGGCGGCCGGCGGCGGCGGCTCGCGCACCGCCAGCGCGCGCTCCACGCCGGCGGCCACGCGCAGCGCGGCCAGCAGGAGCTGGAGCCAGAGGTCCACCACCGCGCTGGCGCCGGGCGAGGCGGCCGACGCCATCCTGCCCCAGCCCAGGCACGGCTTGGTGCCCTTCAGCGCGGTCACCGCCGCCCCCAGCCACTCCACCGCTGCAAGAGGAGGAGGGGATGGGCGGACTGTGACCGTGTGGCAACATCATCCCCTGATTTCATCATTGCCGGGCGTGCCGACCTGCATCGCCCTTACAGGACCCCTTCCCAAGACCCCCAAACTCCCCAGCCAAAACAATTCCTCATACCTGAGAGCAGGGCCTGCAGGGCGGCGGCCTCGCCCACGGCGCCTCCCGCGCCCTCGTCGGCGCGCGCGTCCGCAAACCCGCCCGCCACGCGGTCATGGGTGAGCAGGACGTAGAGCAGCGCAGCGACGAGCTCCTCGCGAAACGGCGCGGCAGCCCCCGGCGCGCCCGCCACCCACTCCTTGAGTCGGCCGTCGGCCAGCAGCTGCTGCAGCTGCGGCGGCGGCGGCGGCGCGCCCTTGCGCCCGCGCCCCGCGCCCGCGTGCTGCGCGGCCCAATCATGGCCCAGCACCGAGGCCCAGAGCGAGACCAGGGCGCGCACGCGGTCGTCGCCGCGCGGCAGCGTGGCCAGGCGCGGGAAGGCGCGGCCAAACAGGCTGGCCTGCTGCAGCGGTGGCATGCGCGCCAGGAACCCCAGCGCCACCGACGTCACCTGGGGCGCCGCGGGGTCGGCGTGGCCGGCGGGTGTCGACGACGCGCCGTCGGTGGCCGGCGCCGCGCCCGGAGACCCCCTAGCCGGGGAGTCCAGCGTGGCCAGGAGGGCCGCCACGGCGCGCGGCGCGGCGGCCGCGACGGCCGCCGGCGGCGCGCGGCTCTCGGCCTCCAGCCGCAGCAGCGCAGCGGCGGCGGCCAGCACTACCGCGGCATGCGGCGAGGCCAGCCACTCCACGCACAGCGCGGCCACGGACTGCGCCACCCCCCCCGCGCGCGGCGGGGCCAGGGCCAGCGACGCCGCGGGCTCGGTCAGCGACCCCGCGCCCGCCCTCGCCGCCTCCTCCTCCTCCGCCATCTCGGCGGCCAGGGCCAGCGCCGCCAGCAGGCGCGGGACGGAGGCCTGGGGCACGGGCGCCAGGCGCCGCGCGCGCGCCAGGATGCCGGGCAGCGCCCGCACCAGCCGGGGGCGCACGTGGAAGGCCACGGCTGCCAGGAAGCCGCCCAGCGGCGCGACGCCGCCGGGGGGCGCCGGCGGGCCGCCCGGCTGGGTGCCGCCGCCGCTGCGGGCGCTGCGTGGGGTGTCGGGGGCCGACCGGAAGCTGCCCATGCGCGCCAGGATGGGGGGCGGCGCGCCGTCAGGCAGGAAGCCGCCGGGGCCAGCTGCGCCGCCGACGTGCGAGGAGCCGAGACCGCCGCTCCGCACCTCCTCCGCGCCGCGCTCCAGCAGGTCGGCCAACGCCACGGCAGCGGCGGCTGCCACGCTGCCGTCGGCGCCCAGCAGCGCTGCCGCTGCCGCTTCCCAGGCCTCGTACAGCGCGGCGGTGAGCGGCGCCGAGGCAGCCCCGGCGGCCGCCAGCGCGGGCTGGGCGCTGACGCGGGCCAGCGCGTCCAGCGCGGCGACCGCCGGCAAGGGGGCCCCGGCGGAGATCACGGCCCCCAGCTGCGCGGCCACGCGGCCGCCCTGCGCGCCCAGCACCTCCACGAGGAGGTGGGGGGGGAGGGCGGCCAGCGCTTGGAGGGCGCGGGCCGACACCCCCGGGTCGGCACGCCCAATGTCGCCGGGCAGGCACATGCCGACGCGGTGCCAGTCTGCGGCATTGGATTGGTTTTGAGGAGGAAAATCTGGTCTTCAGTCATACTAGGGGGAAGGATGTGACCTGTGATGGCAGCGAATGCCGATCCCTCAATGACAGGCAAGGCAATGTGTCCACACCAAGTATGCAAGCCTCCACGTCGCAAAAGCATTCGGCGGCACACGCCCTCGCACCTTCATCCGAGAGGCCGCCGGCAATGAGGGCGTCGTACGCCGCGCTGCGCGCGAGGTGCGGCGTCCCCTGGTCCAGGAGCAGCTGGATCAGGGGTCCCACGCTGCGGCCCAGCTCGCGGCCCTGCGCCAGCTGGGCCAGCGCGCTCATGGCGGTGTTGGTGGGGCGCGTGGCGTCGGAACCATGGGGCGGGAGGCCGGCCTCCGCCATGATGCTGGAGGGCCCTGCCTAGAGGAACCACGGGCGATCAGCTAGACTTGGCCAGCGCGTGGCGCAGGGCAGCTCGCATGCAGGACTTCAGGATCTGGAACTCTCGGTCGCACACGCCCCGCTCGACCTGTGGAGTGATGCGACGGAGGGTGGACATGGGCGTCCCGCTTGCAATGTCGAGGTATGCAGGGTCTGTGCCGGGTCAGTGCCGGCACAGCGTCGATATCGCCCACTCCTGCACGACCCCCCCATCCAAAGGCAGAGGAGTGCTCCTATCCCACCTCTGGAAGAAGCGTCTTGATGCACCCGCCGTAAACTGCGGCCTGGGAGGCGGGGCGTGGGATGAAGTGGATCGTCAAGCTCAACCGAAACCCGGGGTTTTCCACACCGAGCAGGCGTGGCATCTCCCCGGCATGCGGCCTGATCCAGCAAGCTCTTCCACGATCCGTAAGGGCGGAATATGCCCCTCCATCTTATGATCTCACCTCCTTGCTGCAGGAGAGCAACCCCGCACTGATGGCTGCAGGGAAGCGATCTCGGGCGAGACCGGACATTCACAGCGCCACGCAGAATCCCTGATCGAAACGACCGGCTGATTTGATTAGTATCCTTGTTGTGACTGCGGCCGAGGCAACATCCGTGTGCTCATCTGCAAGCTGGATTCTGACACCTCGACGCGGGGGAGGTGAAGGGCGCGCGCTTTGGAGGGGGCGGGGTGCAGTACTTGGATACTTGATAGTCCAGCAAGCATGGGCGCCCTTTCAGGCTCTGTCTATGGACGACGTGTCAAACTTTGGCAGCGCCCGCCCCTCTGGCTCCGCAAGGTACGCCCTCTCCTCCAGGAATGTCTTTATGCGGGTGAAGTTGGCTCGCGCGTCGGGGTCCTCACAGGCGTTCAGCCTGGCCAGGTAGTCGCGGTGCACCACCTCAAATAGCTTCAGGGCCTGGCCTCGGTACGCACGGTGCAGGCGGTACGCTGCCACCTGGAGGAAGGCGATCAGCGCCGTCGCGCTGGCCCTGTCCGCGGGCACGGCGTTCAGGAACCTGGGAGAGGGAGGGGGAAATCAAGGGTGGGCATGCTGGCGGAAGACAAAAACACAGGTTCCTTGTGCCTTGCCCCGGCATCAAGGCACAGAGCAGGCGGCGGCAGCCCCACGACAGAGCGCTCAGGGGGCGGAGCAGCCTTTCCCCTGCCCCCCTCCAAAAATGAAAAATCACCAGGAAAAACCCTCTCGCGCCACCTTGCCAGCCAGGTCCACGCCTTCTTCAGCCCGTGCGGGTTGTTGGCGGCGTCGCACTGCGTGAAGGCCGCATACAGGCGCACAAACCCGCCCACGCGCAGCATGTACTCGTCGGTCGACTCCCGAGTGGTCTGCGGCGGGTGCGACGGGATGGCGGTGTTTGAGGAGGGTGTTGATTCCAGACATGCGCCCGGGAAGCCTGATGCAGGACGTCACCATGGCTGCTGCGGCCCGCTCTTGCCCCCCACCTCCCCCCCCCCCCCCACCCCACCTGGCCGGAGTCCTCGTCGGTGCGGACCTTGTACCCGCTCAGGCGCAGCCAGGCCTCCTCGCCCGCCCCCGCGCCGTCCCTCCCATACACCATGGGCAGGCACAGCGGGCAGGCCGCGACCAGCTGCGCGATGAGGAGCTCCGCAAAGGCGGGCTGCCCTGCCGCCACGGCCACCGCGACCTCGGCCAGGGGGAAGGCGAAGCCGGGCAGGCGTGTGACCTGCACCTCGCACTGCACGCAGATCTTGGCGGCCAGCGCCAGCTGCGCGTAGGCAGAGGCCGGGCCGGGGCCCTGCTCCGCCATCAGCGCGCCCAGGCGCAGGGACAGGCGCGACACCTGCTCGCGCGAGGCTGACACCTGCTGCACGCCAAGGGTTAGAGCCTTGTCCACGGCCCGGCGCGCCGCCTTGGTCCCCGGGTCGGCCTTGTACGGCGCCGCCAGGGCCTGAAGCGGGTGTCAGAATGGGCAGGAGGGCGCGTCAGGCGGGAGGCCACTTGGCTAGACCATGATGCCGGTGCGCCGGCGTGCGCACCTTGCGCAGTACGTCGACCACGGTCCTCTCCCTTGCACTAGGGCGGCACACTGCTTCAAGGCCAACCCACACATACACTCTCGACAGGACTCCACCCTTTCCAAGGCACACGTCCCACCTTGGCCTCGGCCAGCAGCGCCTCCAGGTGCCGCTTCCACTCCAGGGCGCCAGGCGTGGCGTGCACCGCAGACTCGGGGAGGGCGGGCGGGGCCGCGGGGCGCAGCGCGGCGGCACTTGCGCTCGCGCCACCCTGGTTGACCGACCCACGCTGGGCGTGCTCGCCCTCCTTCGCTGCAGCCTGCCGCTGCCGCTCCTGGGCGGCGCGCGCCTCCTCCTCCCGGGCGGCCGCCGCCGCGGCGGCCAGCCTGGCAGCTTCGGAGGCGCGCTGGGCAGCGGCAGCGGCGTCCTTCTCGGCCCGTATTCGCCGCTCCTCCTCGGCTGCGGCCTGCCGGGCTCGGGCGGCCGCCTCCGCGGCCGCGGCGAGCTGCTCTGCCGCCGTCTCCGCAGCGGCAGCGTGCCCCACACGCAGGGAAGAAAGCAGGCGCGCCCGGCTGGAGGCCCGCTCGCGGCGTCGGGCCGCCTCGCCCTCCGCCTCGCGAGCGGCGTCGGCCGCGGCGTGGCGGGCCAGCTCCTGGGCGACAGAGGCTTCCTGCACCTCCAATCGTCCCAGCGCTGCATCCAGCCGTCCCAGCTGGGTGGCTGCCCTGAGCTGTGGAGACAGGGCAGCGCATGGCCAGCGATCACGAGCTCGGCTGTCCTGGCCTGACGACATGCATCCTGGGACACCCTGCGTGCATAATCACCGCGCCAGGCCCACCTGCAGCCGCTCTGTAAGCTCCAGGGCCAGATGCGCAGTGCCCAAGTCCGAACGGGGTAGAAAGGGGGGATGCTGCCTTGGTGCACAGGTCTCCACGTACCTGCTGGCGAGGAAAGGGTGCCGGCTTTGAGCGCATGCTCGGTGAGGACTGCAGGGGAGCGGGGCTTGCGTCCCAGACATGCAAGAGAGCTCAGAAGAACAGGGTTCTCTGCGAGGCGTCATGCAACCTCCGCCACCTGCGGCGCACCTTGTCCCTATGGGCTGGTCGACCTCCTCCCCATCCCCGCCGCTCGTCTCCTCATCAGACCAGCCGTTTGGCGCTTGCAGCTGAAAGGATGGGGAGTGGGCACCTCCATCACTGTCCGTGTCGCTGAGGGGGGCTCGCAGACGAAGACTGGGCTTGGGGTTGTCTCCAGAGGAGTGCAGGCTCCTTCTATCGGCAAATCTATGGATGCCCGATGAAGGTGGGGTGGACCAGGAGCGCTCGGGTGTCGTCCGCCACCTCACTCCAGGACTGGGTGTGCTCATCGACACCCACAATGGAGGTGAAGGGTCCCGGCTGAGCTCCAAGAGCCCCCCGGTTGCTATTGTAAACTTGGGGACATAGGTTCACTCCCCAGCTCGGGGCATTGCACTGTTCGAATAATCTACACAGCAGAGATTGGGCAGACATACTATCAGCGCTCCCCGCGGATAGATAATCGAGCGCCTGCACCGAGATCGGCGCGCCCTGAGCTTTCGCCTGGGCGCCCTCGGCAACTTTGAAATGGAGGTCCAGGCTACCAATCGTGAAGGGCATAGGTGCATGTCTCATCCAGCGATTGATCTCCTTTGATGTACCCTGATGGTGATAGGACACGAGACCTTCTGATTAGGAGTCGCAATCACGCGGATCATCGCGGATCCTGGTTCTGAAAGGCTGTCAGGCGAAACCTGGGTGCAATGGTGTCCCAGGAAGGCCTCGAGCTCCTCTCGGAAACTGTGGGCAATAAGCTGCAGGTAGACATGACGCATGGGCAAGCCCTGTATCTGCAGGCATGCCAATGGCGTCTTCGCACCAGCCAGCCGAGCATCAACCCGCCTGTCACTCCAACCCCTGCCATGCAAAGGCTGTCACCTACAAGTGGCTGGCACGAGAGGCTCATATTCCATACGACACATCCAAAGCCATCCTCTTTGACTTCATGACCAAGCACGCCTCGGTGGGAAGGAGATTGTGGATGGGGCACTCAGTTGCATGTCTCGACAGTGGCCACCATGAGTGAAATAATGCACCTCGCACGGTCCCCTCCTCGCACAGACTGTCCATGCGACCTTTCTCCTGAGTGGGTGGAGGCGCTCCGGAGAGGGTGCAAGGCATGTCGTGTCTGTCATCCCCGCCGAGAGGCTGGAGCGTGCAAAAGCGGAACTGCAGCCGATCACCGCACTGCACGTGTATGCAGTGGCGCCTGCCTCGCAAAAGGTAACATTGGGCTACTCCGATGCTGGGCGCTGTCTGTTGGTCCACTTGCGCACCGCTGGGTGTGCCATGGTGAACGCTGACCACACCTTCCACCTGCTCGCAGGACATTGCCGTCCTGGCAAATCTGGACTACTCCCAGTCCGCAGCGCTGCTTGCGAGTGGAGGGACATATGCCCAGGAGGCACAGTCGCTCAGTTGCATTCAAGGCGGGCCCCAGAGGAAGGCCCCTCAGAAGCCTGACTCTGTCGCCCAGAGGACGGTGCTGCAGCCAGCCAGTCGGGGCGGGGCGGGGTCGGTGGCAACATCTGCACCCCTCCCGACTGCCAAGGAGCCTCTGCCAAAGGTGGAGCCACCGGTGCAGGCAATGCCAAAACCTAGGGGGGAGAAGGGCACAGACTCTGGCGAGGCTCCTCCTGTCAGTGTCAAGCCGGCCAATCCTCCACCCGTGAAAGAGGAATCTGTGCAGGCTCTGAAACCACCAAAATCACGTCCAGGTGGGTTCAAGTTCCATGCAGGGGATGTTTGAACGCAATGGCCATCAAGCATCATATTTCAGGCGGTAAAGCACATCCCATGCACCTACAGGGAGGCAAGTTTTAGACGATGATGCATCCAGCGACGAAGAGGAGCATTTTGCCAAGCCGGCTGCGAGTCAGGTGTGCTTACTGGTGAATCCAACTGTGGCGTGGTTTTTGGAGGGGTCCCAGCACCTGTAAGCTGGCAGCCATGCCATGAAACTACACCCCTTGGCATGCGGGAACTCTTACAAGTCTTTCCTGATCCAAAGCAGTTCAGAGTCTGAATCATTGCCCACCGCTGCAGCTAGCTCAAGAGCCAGAGCCTGAGAAGCCTGCCAAGAAGAAAGGTGCCCGCGCTAGCAAGGGTGAGTGGTGCCTGGGAATCAGGGTAGCCATAGAGCTCACTCTGAAGATGCTCTTGCCTATGCATGAGAGACACTGAGCTGCTCTCCCCACAATGTCGCTTTTGGGATGGACCGAGCTGAACCGCCGGGCTTCACCACTGCACAGGTGCGCCTAAGAAGGCTTCCAAGACCCACCCGCACCCTCCAGAAGCAAGCAGTGATGGTGTCGGCGCCGCTGAAGTGGCAGCTCCAGAGGGCGGGGCTGCACAGGCCAAACCAGCCTCTCAGACTGTGGTAGGCTGTTTTGCACTGGAGGTGGTTGCAGGGGTTTGAATGCCCTCTGCCTTGGCCAAACACTGCTCCATCAATCCCTGAAGCAATGCTAAAATTCAGCCCAAGACCCTCACGACAGGCTCCGTCGCAGGCAAAGGGCACCAAGCGTGTCATGAAGACCTACTACAACGATGCTGGGGAGGAGGTTACAGGTGGGCCACAGGCCAGCCTTTCCCCTTTTGTTATCGGGCTGTGTGGTGCGGCGGGGAGACTACAGGATAATTCAGGCCCTTGTTCGTTCGGAATTCCTCCCAATCACATTGCACAGAAATGGTCAAAGAGGAGGCAGACTGCAACCCTGTCTCTCCGGAGCTGGCACAGAGACCGCCACCCGTAGGGCCCCCAGCTGGCCCGGTTCCCTCCCCACAGCGTGCCCAGGTGGCACCAGTACCCAGTGCCAAGAAGGCAAAGTCCGCTGCAGGCCAGCGGAACATCATGTCATTCTTCGGCTCCAAGTAGGGAGCTATGCTATGCTCATGCCACAGCGCCTACCAGTAATTTACAGGCCTGCTCACCCTCATGACCCTTGCCCACCATCATGCAGTGCATGTTGCAAGTCTGAGATCTGCAGGGTGTATGTAGAAGGAGTCTTCAAACCAGTCATGGACTTAAGAATAGGGGCTGGGGCAACGGTGCGACCTCCACGCTCAAATGCTGAGGAAATTTGTATGCAGGGGCCAGCAACTGGCAGCCATCAGTATACTGCCCATTCATCATTGATGGGAGGATGTCGGAGGCATCTCCAAGCTGCCAGTCTTCTTAATCAGTGTCATGTGTGGCTCCTTGCCGAGGGAAGTGGTGTCACTTTGCAGCAGCGACTGGAGACCTTGCCCTCGCCAGAACCAGTGGAGAGCTTTGCAGACAAGTGCACCGCTTCCCTGGCCTCACTCGTCCCAGTTGTCTTCTCCACCAGACAGCCAGGCTCACACAGGGGCTTTCCCCGCAAGAAGCAAGTGATATGCTCGGATATCAAGGAGGGCCTGTGAATATTGTGCAGGAGCTGGGGCTGCCAAGTCCGAGGGATTCCCAATCTGAGGTCAGGTTGTCAATAATTTCCTGTGGCATCCTGCCAGGCCCTCATCCATGCCCATTAACCACGGCACCTATCTTGCTGCATCCAGTGGCTGCATCCCTCGACCATCAGAGTGGTGACATCTGCGCAGAACCGGCCATAATCCTGCAGAGAGGTGACGCACAGTCCTGTGAAGATCTTCTTGTACCAAAAGAGTTTCAATGAGCTGTGCATCTTCATGCACTCTACAGAAGAGGGTACCCAGCGTTGCACCTGGAACATGGAAGGAAGGAAGGCGGCGTCTTGTTGCCCATACAGGACCAGGAGAGGCACAGATATAGTCGACTCCAGGGGCCTGCAGAGGTAGCAGGGAGTGCGCTTTCCTGTTGTTTCAGACTGCTCACTGTGCCTGCACAGGGTATGCTACAAAGATGGCGGTCAAACCTCCTCGGAAAGCCAAACACTTGGCACCATGGGATCCCATACATTTTGAGTATCTGGTCAGGCCGGCGTGACTGATTGTCGAAGCTGGCAACGTAATAGTTCAGGGCAGCTCTGAGTGCACCTGGTCTACCCAACAATGCCTTGGTGCGGTCCACATCCTGTGATGAACATGAAAGGACTTCTTGCTGATTGGAGTCCTTCAGTTGAAGCTTGACGTGCCCACTCTGACCCACCTGCTCTGCAGGGCACAGACAACCGTTACAGGGTGGCAATCGCAATGGACACAGAAGCCTTCACTCATCTATCCAGATGAATCGGCTCCCCACCTGGTCTGTGATGGTGCCGTCCACTATCACCCCCCTGGGTGCTTTTCGGAGCATAGAGTCCACTTCCTTGAAGTCTGAATGGGACATGTAGACAGCCGCAAGGCGTGGAGCTTGGAACAAGATGAAGTACCATGACCTGGGAGGGTTGCAGAGCGTTGCATTGTGCAGGAGATTGTGCTAAAGGGCTGGGAGTTGGACGAAACCTGGGTCGAATGAACAGAAACCAAGTCTCTGCCCCTTGCAAACAGAGAAAATCTTCATTCAAACAATCTTATCTACACACTGCCTGCCTCAGGGACTGCTGGGGGGTGAAGCAGGCCGGATCCAGGTACGCTCGGGGGTGTGGCGAGGCAAGGACGACCATGCGCTGCACCGCCTCCGGGTGGGCAGCCGCAACATGCCAAGCCACCATGCCACCCCAGTCGTGGGCGACCAGGGTGCATCGTGTGTGCCCCAGCGCCGCCAGGCACTCCAGCACGTCCCTCACCAGCCGTGACATGGTGAATCGCCGGGGGTGCTGCGCAGCATGAGCAAGGGGTGATCAGGATACTGACCTGCTGGGGAGGGCACGCTGTGCGCCTGGACAACATGCAGACGATGCAGAGGCAGGGGGGCGAGCGACAGGAAGGCTGGCACCTCGACATGCCAGCCCTGATGCGCACCCCCATGGCCAAACCTTTGGGCGGTCTGAGAAGCCAAAGCCCCTCATGTCCATGGCAGCAACCTCGTACTCCTCTGAGAACGTCTGGCATGATGGTGCGGGAGGGATGGCCATATCACTTTCTGGGTGGGTAACCGATACTGGAGGATATATCCACTGTCAAGGCTTCCGGCTATGGAACATAGTGCCAAAGATACCCCATATGCCCTACCTCGATTTGATGCCGCCAGCTGTAGCATGTCTCAGGGAAACCATGCAGGAACAGCAGGAGCGGCCTCCCCCTCCCACATCCTCGTGTCGCGACGTGCAACCTGTGGTTTGCGATTGTCTTCGAGCAGGCTGGAGACTGGACACATCCAAAGCAATTCCATCACATTTCAAATGCACAAGCTGCTCCTGGCCTCCATTGACAGAGCAACCAAAAGGATGTGGATGGGATCTCACATCACATCATCAGATGTTGAGAAGTGTGTGTGGTCGCAGCCTGGCATGTCATCCTGGTCAGGTACCGGCCGACTTTTGTGGAAGAAGAACTTGTGGGGTCTGTAGATTGCAAGCAGAAGGAATGTGTCGCACAATCCTATTTGAAGCCAGTCATTGTGACCTTGAGAAGACATGTTTTCAACGCTCTTTCACGGCACCTCGATAAAGCCTGGAAAGCGAGGCTGGTGGACACGACCAGCCAGACAGGACACATCATGGCTTGGGCAGCCGCCCACCGCACATGACCCGCAACTCTCATGAGGACGCGTGGAAGATAACCCAAAGGATGCGAGTCACACACACATGTAATGGGTGGAGACTACTCATCTTTCCCAAATCATTCACGATGTGTTCTCGTTCCCTTCGATCGCGATGTGACCCCAACCGTCACACATGGCCACTCTCCCGGTGGGCGGCGAGCTGCCGGCCCCGTGGCGGCACTAATGACATACATTTAGAGTCGCCAGCTCGTGGTAGGGCAATTTAGCCTTGCATTCGGTACATGAAGAGATGGCTGCATTTACGGCTATCAGAAGCCGTAGGCCATGCACGCTTATTTATTGCTCCCGAAAGGGAGTTTCGGCGCGCGCAGCCCGTCTCCTGAAAATGTTGCACCCCCTCCCTGAACGTGCCCTCAAGCCCGAGCGTACTTTGGATGTACCACTTTGATCTACGATTTTAGTGCGAATTCGATCGACCAGGCACATTGCCGTTGTTCCTTTTGCATCATGTCCAACCAGGACAAGTTCGACGTGCTACTCGAGGGCCTCGAAGCCCATCAGACTGACACATCACTCCTCAAAACAGGAGATTCTGTCGAGTTACAGCACAGAGATGGTGCATTGCATTGCTCAAGCTCCGCCGGCATTATCGGGAGAGTACCCGAAGGCAACAGCGGCCCTCTCCTCGAAGGCGACTGGCGGGGATCTGTGCGAAGCTTGAAAAGGAACGCGGAGACAAAGTCCTTGACACAAGTGCTGGTCAGGTTCTTGCGGGGCGCAGGAGCCCATGCACCTCCGCCAGGTGTCGCGGTTTGGTGTCCTGATCGGGGGAGGACTAGGTCCCTTGGAATAGTGTAGTCCCCGCTTCATACAGCAAGAAATGCAGCAATCTCACCGTACATGCAGCTGCTCCAGGACACAAGGTGGAAGAGGCAGATGATGTAGAGTTCCTCAGTGCAGCGCAGTACGAGTTGTTAGGTGAGAGCAGATATGATGTGATCGTGTCTGCATGCTCGCGTGTCGATTCCTCTACATGCTGCGCAGAGGGTGAGCCTTCAAGTTCCTCACCACCCCGTTGTCCTCCAGCAAATCAGCCTGAGATGCAGCAAATCTTGAGTAATCCCAAACTGCAATCTGTGGTGAGGAGCGTGGACAGTGCAGCAGATCGAGAGAAGGTGGGACTCTTGTGTGGGGTATGAAAGTGCTGTGTCAGCCCCCAGCAGCACATATGCCACAGCCATTGAACGCCCACTCTTCCAGGCTCTGGTCAAGGCTTTGGAGTCACCAAACTTCAAGGAGTTCACAGACAAGGTGCGTGTTTGCAACATGTTGCATGTACTCTCATACGGACCTTGATAACACAGTGCTCACCACCAGACCTCCCCTGCAGATACTGAACATTGTCTCCCCTCCCGAGACTTTGTGACAACCAGGAGTCCTGGCGTCCAGCAGGCTCCAGGGGCAAGCGTCTGGCTTTGGGGGGCTTTTATCTCTGGGCTCATCAACATGTCCTCGACAAGAAGCTACAGAGGCTCTGGAACGAGACACAGACGTTGTAAATCAACAGAACATCACAACGTATGTTGCTGCTGGCACCATCAATGAGGGCACACCCTTGCCGCAACAGGATCTCCCAGGGACAAGGTGGCCGTGAGTCTCCGCCCCATCTGTGACGGAAAACGAAACAATGTCTGATTCTCCTCATTTGTTATCTACCAGGCAGGCACAGCATTGCGGCTGTATGCTGCCTCATTGTAAGCATCGTACGCCGTAGGCACCTGGAGGTGGGGGAGCCAGATGGCTGAGGAAGAATGGCACTTTGCTCATTGGCACATTACCTCATGCCACATCCTGCAAGGCAGGGTGCTTGCTTGCCCTCATCCCTGCCCAAACTGCTAGGTGCCCAAGGTCCAATGCTTAGCATAAAGTACCCTACCAGCCTTCCATCCGTATTCAAAGATATCCCTCCAACCCTCCTCCACCAGAGACATCGCACCCACCAGACCAGACCCACCTGGGTGGCAGGGATGCGGTGTGTGGGGGCGGCCGGCGCGTCGTCCAGCGTGTACAGTGAGTCCTTGGAGTGTCCCAGGCCCACAGAGGCGCCCGCTGAGTGGTTGCGGCCCACCTTGGCGCGAATGCCACCCTGTAGGGGGGAGTGGGTGCGAAGGACAATTGATATCGTGCCCAATGGCCAGGATTATCGAGCACCATATCCGTTTACAGGAAGCCCCTAACTATCAAAGACATGTCCACTCGAGGTCCACTCCATGCCCATGCCCCCTTCTCCCGCACCTGCTGTCCGTTCTGGAGTCGGGGCACGTTCTCGCGCTCGTCCCGGCGTGCGGCGATGACCTCTGGCATGCCGGCCGGAGGCAGAGACTGGAGCGGCGTGCTGGCCCCGGAATTGGCCTCCACCGGCAAGGGGTAGCCGCGTGATCCCGGCACGCGGGCCTTCTGCTCGCCCAGCGCGGTGTTGGCGCTGCGGAGCGCCTCTGACTGGATGCGCAGGACTGCACGGGCGGAGCATGGGCTGCAGTGAAAGGCCAGAGGATCCACTGTGCATAGCACGACATGGCCCCTGTGTCACAGCAACTACACCCTCCCCCCCTCCAACTCCATACCTCCAGACAGGTAGCTCTTCAACCAAACGCTGTCTGTAATGACGTTTTCCAGCTGGTGGAACACGAGGGACTCGTGCTCCTTGTAAGACTGGCGGCAGGCTGCAACATGGTGGAGGAAGCAGTAGGTTAGGTACAGGGTGAAGGGTGTACCATGCACAGCAGCCATGCAATCACAGCAGTTCGCAGGTGCACACCTCCTTGCACACTTGCACCCAGCTGTCTTCACTCTTCTCGCACCTGACAGCTTGGATTCCTTGTGCTGCAGGATCTTGATGGTGTTCTCCATCTCATACTCTCCCTTGGCCCGAGTTTGAGGGAGCCGTGCTCGTTGGACATCAACCTGTCAAGCGAGAGGCAGACTCTCATCATTTTGTGTGGTCTGAGGAAGTGTGTACTGCAGATAGCAGACACACAGGCTGCTGATCTCCCAAAGCAGGTAAATCAGGAGATGTACAAGGTCCCAAGTATATAGGAGCTCAAGGTCCATCATGGTCTGAGGCAATGTACTCACAACCAGCAGCGTCACAACCCACCTTCTTGCCGAGCTTGGCCACGGTGCGGCGACGGGAATCCACCTCCAGGCGCAGGCTCTCCAACCTCTTCATTCGCTGCTGGATGAGCACAAAGGCATTCATCCATCGCTCCATGGGGGCCAGCACCTCGGACTCCACAAGCTTCCCAGCAGACTTGACGACGCGCGACATCTCCTCTGCATTGTAATCGGCCCCCCCGATGGGGACGATTGGTCCATTTGGGGCCCCCACCACACCAGACGCGGTGCTGGCCGTCATGGGGATGACCTTGCCACCCCCAACCTCTTCGTAGACGCGGGGCAGCGGTGCAGACATCACCGCCTTCACCGTGCTCAGCAGATCTGAAGGGGGATTGGAGGGTGCGTTGGAAGCGGTTTTGACATGTCCTCGCTTCATCTTGGAACACGAGACGACATGTTCGTTATGGGAAACGTGTTTCCCGGTATAAAGCTAACCTTCCGTTGAGGCCTGCATCTTGCGGATATCCTTCTCACACCGACGCAGGTGCCCAGCAAACTCCATGGCCTCGTTCATCATCATCTCATTGCGAGAGTTTGGAGTGGCCTGGAAATCCTTGTCCTCCACGATGTTCCATTTTTGGCGAGCCTATGGGATCGCACGGGGGCTCGAGGGTGAGGTCGGGCCCAGGTCTGGTGGTGTTAACACGGAGCCGGGCGACAGCTCTACCCCGCGCCAGGAGCGATCGGCCCTGCATCACCTCACACCTGCTCCGAGATCCGCCTCCAGGTCGCTCCCATGCCTTCGAGTGCGATTTATGCACCTGCAAGTGCGTCAGACGTCAGTCAGCAGACAGCGGTTGTTGAGGTCGCCTCGGCTCTGGCGAGCTCGATGCGGATCATTCCGGCCCTTGCACCACGCGCCTCACCTTGACAAAGGCCTTGATGGTTCTTGATGCACTCCGGGCCGCGCTGTTGCAACTTCAAGGCTGGCCTGATACCACCAGCCGGGTTCACAATTCGAGTTGGGGGCTGATGGTTCTGTGACCCCGATCAACCCCATTGAGGGAGCATGCACAGCATTTGCACGGCACACAAATCTGGCGCAAATGGACAGAGGAAGGAGCTCATCGCCTTGTGACAGAGTATCTAACACAGCAGTCTTCTTCTGATGCATGCGTGGTAGAAACACGCCACGATCATGTCCATAAGGGGCTGATACAGGACAGGCAGAGCGGACGGGAGGTCCGCAGGCAGGGTCGATCAGAGCCCTGTCACTCTTTTCTTCGAGAATATTACTGTAAAATGACAACATAAGTATGACGAGCTATACCGATGAAGTTGCGCGGATCGAGGTGAGCGCCGAGGATGCTTTGGAGGTCGTGCCAAATTGCGGAACTGTGCAGGGCCTTCCCATACCAAGATCTCTACCCCCCTGCCGCCACGACAGAACGGCGTGCTGGAGGCGCTCGGCACTAGAACCAGCGTAGACGATGTGGGGAGGGTGGCAGTGTCCCTCCTCCTCGCCCAGCCATCTGAGGAGGGTGCATCGCTGAAGCCGCTGTCGCCGACGCAGCACACCCTGTTCGGCAACGGTCTACAGGTCGTCGTATCATCGCTTCTTGATGCCGCGTTGGAGGAGGGCACGCCTGCCATGGAGTACAAGCTCAGCAGCGCTGCAAAAGTGCCGTCGCTGCGCCTCTTGCTGGATGCCTCGCTGTCCCTGGCGCTGCAGGGTGTCACCCATGGAGGCATCCCTGCAGCCCTGCTGGAGCAGGTGTTTGACAGCCTGACGGTTGCAGAGTGCGAGGTCCCCTTTGCTTACCTCGAGGAGCGACTGTCAGACTTCAAGCAGCCAGCTGTGCGTGCCCGTGCTGCCCTCACCCTGCAGAGGGCCTGCAACCTTCTCATCCACAGACTCAGCAAGGTGGGTATTGCGAGAGCGTACGGCGTGGCCCTGTAAAGTGGGACGAGACGGTTTGTTAAGGCGCTCTGTCGGCGTATTTTCTGGCATGCAAGCACATGCAGCACTAACTGAAATGGGCCCCCCCGGCTGGGAGACAACCCTGCTCTGCCTTGCTCGCACCTCTCACATGTTCGTCCACCTTGCGCTCCCCTTGGACAGAGTCAAAACTCGCTCTTTGCGGGTCAGCTGCTCATCTTTCTTGCCAAACTCCTTCCCCTCATGGAACGGTCTGGCGTCAACCTCCAGGTTTGAAAGGGGGTCCATCAGAGAGCTTGTTGTGATGGGCCCCTTGCTCTTGGCCCTCAGGACAGCGGAGTGCAGAAATACATCATCCAATGGTCACCTCTCCATCTCACTCAATGGAACAGGGTGCTTTCCATACGGAGAACTCTACACCAGTGGAGGACGTTGCGGAGGTGGGGACGTGCACAGTGGGGCATCAGCGTGTCGCGGGAATCCTGGCCTCCCAAACAAGCACTGCGTTCGGAAGTGCAGTTGTTCGTCGCCTCGAAGGGCCCTTTGTTCTGCTCCTGATTACCCATAGCCATGCTGACAGACACCTTCACCCTTTATGATCAGGGTGCCCTTGACAGCCTCGGCAAGACCGTGGACGCAGAATTCTACGGCACGTTCTGGTCGCTGCAGGCTGCCTTCTCGAACCCTCCTCAGGCAGGGATTGAGTGGAGTGAGACAGCACGTGCCGTCAAGATCGTTCTGGAGCGTCTGAAGAAGGACCCGGTGACCCTAACTGAGGCCGCATCAGGTACTGTGGGTGATTTGCCTTTTCCGCAGCCCTGGGGGCCTTGGCCTGCGGGTTTCATGTGCAGCAGTGGACGGCTGATTAATCGATTTGCAACCCGCCATGCCAGATTATCATGCGAAAATCCATACTTATCAGCAAAGCGCAGAGCTGAAGGAATCGTCCATTCTTATCACTCACCCAGCTGATCTCCCCTGGACCCATCCTGGTGTGCAGGCAGCAGCATCAGTGCAAAATACCTGAGCGGCAGTCGGTTGCTGTCCCTACAACTACGGGACGCAACCTTCCGGCGGCACTTCCTCGTCCAGTGTCTCATCCTGTTCCAATTTCTTGAGGCTCCCCATGCCGCCAAACAGGCCTGGCCAGTCCTCAAGGGCCGTCAGATTGAAGAGCTCAAGGTGTGGGGGTGCCCAGTGTTGTTGTGGTGATGTCAAGGATGGGGTCCCACCTCTGACACCCACGAACATGTTGTGTCGCTCTCTTTTGGTGAGGAACATTGCATGCAATGACTGCATGGCATGGAGCACCTGGCGTCACTCTAGTGTGAGCAAGGGGCTGGCTCGAGCCTATCAAGACTGATCCTGAGGTCCGAGTGCATTCCCCACCCCAACACAGGCCCTCCAGGAGAGCGTGTACGAGTCACTGGCTTCTGTGCCAGAGCGAGGCCCCGAGTTCGCAGCCACTATCCGCCAGCTGCTCCTGGACGAGTCCTCCTGGGCGGCTTGGAAGCAGGTGTGTTTGGCAGGCTTCGTTGGGCGGGAGAGATCGCAGCGGGGTTGGCGCAGCGCATCGTGGCATGCCAGCGTGGCATCGCAGGCCCTGACACCATTCCGCCATCCTGCCTCAGGCAAGCTGTCCCAAGGAAGCGTTTGAACGGCCTGCTGCCGCGCCGCCTGCGGCTGCCAAGACCACGGACCCGCTGGGGCCCCCCTTCAAGCGGCGTAAGCCGAGCCGGGACGCTGTGTTCGGAGTGACCTTGGGCACAGAGGAGCTGGACAGGCTGTGGAATCTGACCGAGGACAACTTGAGCGGTGATTCACGCCCTGGCTTGGGGATGGGCACCAGTGTGGGGCGGAGCCGCGCCGGCATGGGGTGCGTGCATGTGTGTGGTCTCTCAGCCTGCATGCATGTTGGTGGTCTCTCAGCCTGCGTGCATGTTGGTGGTCTCTCAGCCTGCGTGCCTCCGCCCCTGTCCTCGCAGGTCTGGCTGCGGAGGACCGAGGTGGCTTCAAGACGGTCAGCCAGCTCATGGAGCCGGTGCTGGGAGGAGATGGACCGGACCCCGAGGCCCCCAGCCTGGTGTGTGAATGGGGGAGGGGAGACAGGCCCTGGGCCGGGGCCACGGAGCTTGGCTGGCATGTGCACCGGTTGCCGATGTGGGTGGAGGGACCGTGACAGGGCCCAAGACGGGGACATCTGTCCGTGGTGACTCCCGGCCATGACGCCCGCCTCATCCACCCCCTGCCCTGCCTTCCCGCAGTCCAAGAGCACCATGTACAGCTGGAGGACGCTGCGCATGGTGGCACGCGTCAACCTCAGGGTGCGAGCTGGGAGGTGTGGGTCGTGCGTGCACGGTCTGGGGTTGCTCGGGGTGGCAGGGCTGGCTGCCCCGCTGCCCCCTGCAGCATGTGCACCCGCAGCACGATGATCGAGCTCCAGCACGCCCCTCGCTCCTCAGGCGTTTGTGGCGTCCGTCCAGGCCAAGGGCGACCTCCAGGTTGCGGCCCGGATCATGTACCCAAGCCGATGCCCAGAACCGGCAGGGGCGGGCACTGCTTCCAGCGGGGAGGCGCAGGAGGGCGGCAAGCAGGAGGACGTGGAGATGGCGGAGGCTTCCGCCGCTCCCGTCGCCAGCCCCAGCGCGGGCGGGGGCCTGGCTGCGAGCGACGCCGGCGATGGCGAGGAGGGCAGGTCGGACGCCGACGCGGGGCTGCTGGGTGCTGTTGCGGAGGGCGAGGCCGGCCCAGAGACAGCGAGCGAGGACGGCCAGATCGGGGGGGGCAGAGGACCGAGGGGCGACGAGGCGGACTCGCCTCGCACCGGACCGAGTGGCGACGAGAGAGCGGGCAGTGGGTCTCCCGCCCCCGGAAGCCAGGCGGCTAGCGGCGAGGATCCCTCTGGTCCGGCGGGCGACGCGGAGATGGAGCCTTGACCTGCACCTGCAGGAGACCTTGGCGTGTGCCTGCCGCTGTGGGTGCATGACATGTCCATGACGATGCCCCAGCCGGCGGCCTGGCGCTCAGCACTGCCGGGGGCGAGCATTCAAGTTCGTTGGGAGCACGCACGAGACTCGGGGGTCACCGCTGCACGACGAGAGGTGCGGCGGGCATGGCGCGCCTGCTTCTAAGCAGGATGCGTCGCGAAAGAGCCCTGCCAAGACCATGGCCGCGATAATCCCTCACCCCGCCCTGCTGGCCGACTTGCGGGCCGAGGCGTTGAGCAGGCGCTTGCGCAGGCGGAGCTTGGTGGGGGTGACCTCGATCAGCTCGTCCCCGGCGACGTACCCAATGACGTCCTCCAGGGTCATGAGGCGTGGGGGGGTGAGGTGCACCTTCTCGTCGGCGCCGGCGCTGCGCATGTTGCTCAGCTTCTTCTCGCGCACCGGGTTGACAGGGTGCGAGCTGGGAGGTGTGGGTCGTGCGTGCACGGTCTGGGGTTGCTCGGGGTGGCAGGGCTGGCTGCCCCGCTGCCCCCTGCAGCATGTGCACCCGCAGCACGATGATCGAGCTCCAGCACGCCCCTCGCTCCTCAGGCGTTTGTGGCGTCCGTCCAGGCCAAGGGCGACCTCCAGGTTGCGGCCCGGATCATGTACCCAAGCCGATGCCCAGAACCGGCAGGGGCGGGCACTGCTTCCAGCGGGGAGGCGCAGGAGGGCGGCAAGCAGGAGGACGTGGAGATGGCGGAGGCTTCCGCCGCTCCCGTCGCCAGCCCCAGCGCGGGCGGGGGCCTGGCTGCGAGCGACGCCGGCGATGGCGAGGAGGGCAGGTCGGACGCCGACGCGGGGCTGCTGGGTGCTGTTGCGGAGGGCGAGGCCGGCCCAGAGACAGCGAGCGAGGACGGCCAGATCGGGGGGGGCAGAGGACCGAGGGGCGACGAGGCGGACTCGCCTCGCACCGGACCGAGTGGCGACGAGAGAGCGGGCAGTGGGTCTCCCGCCCCCGGAAGCCAGGCGGCTAGCGGCGAGGATCCCTCTGGTCCGGCGGGCGACGCGGAGATGGAGCCTTGACCTGCACCTGCAGGAGACCTTGGCGTGTGCCTGCCGCTGTGGGTGCATGACATGTCCATGACGATGCCCCAGCCGGCGGCCTGGCGCTCAGCACTGCCGGGGGCGAGCATTCAAGTTCGTTGGGAGCACGCACGAGACTCGGGGGTCACCGCTGCACGACGAGAGGTGCGGCGGGCATGGCGCGCCTGCTTCTAAGCAGGATGCGTCGCGAAAGAGCCCTGCCAAGACCATGGCCGCGATAATCCCTCACCCCGCCCTGCTGGCCGACTTGCGGGCCGAGGCGTTGAGCAGGCGCTTGCGCAGGCGGAGCTTGGTGGGGGTGACCTCGATCAGCTCGTCCCCGGCGACGTACCCAATGACGTCCTCCAGGGTCATGAGGCGTGGGGGGGTGAGGTGCACCTTCTCGACCTTCTCGTCGCTGCGCATGTTGCTCAGCTTCTTCTCGCGCACCGGGTTGACGCCCATGTCGCCGTCCCTGGACGATCGCGGGGGCGAGGGGGGGGGGGATGGCGGAGGGGGGAAGGCAGGGGAAAGGGGATGGGGGGGGGGGGGGGGGTTGCGGGGCGCGGAGCGGCGGATCGCTGCTACTCCCATTGCCAGCAGGCACCTGTGTGCCATGCTGTCTCAGACCACTCCCATGTACCTGCCCAGCGTGCAGTGATTTGAAGAGCCAACATCCCTGCCATCAGCCCTGCCAAGCCGCCTCTCTCCCCCACCCAAGCCCACCTGCTGCTCTCCCCGATGATCATGCCCTCATAGACGTCTCCGCCATCCCCGACGAAGAGGTCACCCCTCGCCTCCAGCATGCCCAGCGCATACAGCGTGGTGCGCCCGGTGGCGGTGGACACCAGCACGCCCTTGCGCACCCGGTCCAGGGGACCCCGGTACTCGTCATACCGGCTGAAGGCTCGGTGCAGGAGGCCCGAGCCGCGGGTGATGGTGGCGAAGGCGGACCTGAACCCGATCAGGCCGCGGGAGGGCACATCAAAGGTGAGGCGCTGCTTGCCGTCCACCTCCAGGGGGACCATCTCCGTCATCTGTTGGGGGGGGAATAGGGAGGGGAGTCGGTCAGAGTAGCGGGCGGTGACCTGCTTCAGACTGCGGGCATGCAGGAACTTCGAACCTCGCATGTGTCGGGGTGGGCTCCCCAATGGGCCAAACACACCGCCAGCCCCGCGCCTCACCTCTCCCTTCCGGTTGGACATGGCCTCGATGACCTCCCCTGCGTGCTCGTCCGCGACCTCGCAGCCGACCTCCTCGATGGGCTCCAGGCGCCTGCCCGCCTCCTCCCGGAACACCACGCGGGGTGGGGACACCGACAGCTCAAACCCTTCTCGCCGCATGTTCTCTGGGGATGGGGGAAGGGAGAGACCGTCGAGGGTGGACTCACTGGCCTGCAGCCACGCAGAGGCATCCTCTCCTCTTCAGAACACCGAGCCCTCACACGGACTCCGCACCGATGAGCAGGCCCAGCTGCAGCTCCCCGCGAGCCTGCACCTCAAACGCCTCGCCGCCGCTCCCCGTCACTGGCAGCACCCTGTGTGCGAGAGTATTGGGTGGTGATCTGTGAAAGCAGCAGCCTGCCAGGCTCCAGTACGGCGATGCGCCCCTGCAGCCTACCAGGAGCCTGGGCTCGGCGTAGGTGATTCCACCCAGCGCCATCACCCTGCACACACACATCCTCGAGCCCTTGGAACCCTGAAACCCGCCTGCCCAGGTTGGACAACCTCAGACCGCTCCCTCTGCCCTCCCACCCCCTGCCCTTCCCACCTCAGGGACACATTGGTCTCGGCCTCCTGGCGCAGCCGCTCGCCGATCTTGGAGCCCGTCAGCTGCGTACCCTCCCGCCCCGCCAGCGGGGAGGTGTTTGGGGAGATGATCATGGAGAGGGTGGGGGGGTCCACCTGGCCGGGCGGTAGCGCGTCGGCCAGACCCACATCTCCAATGGTGTCGGCCACGCCCGCGATGGGCGCGCCCGCGATGCTCACGATGTCGCCCGCCACCGCCCGCTGCAGCTCCAGCGTCCTCTGCCCCGAGCGCTTGAACAGCTTGGTCACCTTGAACCCCATGTGCTCCTCGCCTGGCACAGGCGGGGGTGAGTGGGTCTTGGATTCAAGGGGAAAAGGGCGGACGCTGCCGCACAGCCAGCTGGGCACGCGGTCGACGTGGAGAGCACCAAACCTTCTCCCCGCGCCCACTGGTCCATCACACCCTGCCCACCGGTGTGCTTGATCACTTTGATGGCGTCGCCCACGGCCACGCTGCCCGTGGCTATCCTGCCGGTGGACACCCGGCCCAGGAAGGAGTCACGCTCGGTGAGCACCACCAAAAAGCTGAAGGGCTCGGCGGAGCGGTCCCCGGGGGGGGGGACGTGCTCGATGAGGGCGTCCAGCAGGGGCCCCATCCCTCCCGGGGGTGGCATGGCGTCCCGGGGCAGGAGCTCCCGGCTGGCCCAGCCCTGCGAGTGCGTGGGTCGCAGAGTAGAGAGGCAAAGTCTGCTGGTATCCAGAGGCTGTGATGGCGTGCCAAGTCATGAGTGATGGGAAACTCTATGTGGGCACAGAGTAGCCGGCGCCTCAAATTCACGCC